CTCCCCAGCCATGGACAATGAGGCTCCAAGAGGCTAACTTCCCCAGCAATGCTCCAAAGTCTGCCTATCTAGACCCCCTACACAATAACACCGCATCCTAAGGTAATTTGCCCGGGGAAAGAGTGGGGCCAGCAGAGGGGGGCGGGAGAAAGTGTCAGGTCTAAAGTCTTGCCTGATTTGGAGAGCTGAGTTGAGTTCAGCATAGGACAGCGAGATTCAACAGCCTCTCCTACCGTCTTACACTCCATCCATCTCTAACTGGCTAGCAACCCTGGTGGTGGAAGGAAAGAATTAAGAAGTGACAAGACACACACACTTGTCTGTCCCAGCCTGACAGAGACCCCAGTGCAAAGCAGGAAGGATGTGTGTGGCTGACCCCTGGCCCCTGGTTCACCCATTAGCTCAAGCTGGCGTGACAATCACCAGCCTGCACAAAGGGACGGCCAGGCAGCTATGTCAGACTCCAGGCAGTGTGAGATACAAGGGGCACCTCTGTCTGCTCCTTGAACGCTGGCCGCAGCCACAGACAGGTGGGCTCTGGGAGTCCACAGGGAATGAGAGCAGATCCATCACACCCTTGGCAGCAGACACGCCAGCTGCGGGGAGCACACACATCATGCATAACACCTCGACCCCGAGTCCTCACCTGCAGAGAACCGTGAGCCCGTGGACCTCGGGGTCCTGCTCGCTCATGGGTGGGGCCATGGCAGGAAGATGGGAGGGCATAGGAGGGCCCTCCCTAGAGACCCTGGGGCGGCATCCTCCTGGCCACCTCTTCAAGACGGGGAGCAGGACTCCCTGGCCCTTCCTCCCACCCAGGGCCCAGATGCTGGGACAGGGTGGGGCAGACCAGGCTCGCGGCTCCCTCGAGAGCAGAGAAGAAAGAGCACTCACTACCTGGGAGTCCTCCCCTCGACCAGGCAGCGCGTCCACTTCCACCAGCCACACGAGGCGGTGGCCCCTGCTCCATTCTCTGATTGCCACAAGGGCAGTTAGCCCAGCTCTGGGCTCTCTGAGTCCCACAGGATGTCCCCTTGTCCCGCCCCCTGCCTCTTTCCACCACGCTGGGTGGACGGAGAGGACCAGTAAGCCAGGAGCCCATGCCGGGAGCTAGAACTGTGGGGCACGAGGCACCCTCACATCTGGTCACGCTCGGGGTCCTGGGCTGAGGGCAGCTTGCAGCCTGGTGGGGTGGGGAGCTCGGGCAGGAGGGGCCTGGCAGCAGGGTGTGTCCTGTCTGGCTGTTCCCCTTGCACATCCTCACAATGGCCTCACACACTCCCCACCAATGCCCACAATACCCACTGGGTCATACCAGCACACTCCCTGACCTGGCTACTAGGGACACAGGCTTTAGGGACCCCACAGCCTGGGGAGAAACTCACAAGGGCCATTCCAGGTGCAGGGCAGAGGGCAGGGTTGGCAGGCATTGGTCACGGCAGTGGTGTCCCTCTGGGCACTGTGTCAGATGGTAATTGTGTGGAAGGGGGGCTGGGACCGCCACGGGAAGCGCTGTTCAACGTGCACCCATCCCTGTAGGAACCGCCTGAGCGTCCCTGCAGGCGGGACTGCCCCGTGCCTGCTCATGACCCGACTCAGCTCTGACGGCCAGGCCTTCACCAGCTGGCCAGCCCGTCGGCCTGTGTCTAGCACTGTGCAGTGGACACACTATTCCAACTGCCTGGCTGCACACACACTGATGGGGGCTGCCGGACACCGGGCACCTTGAATCTACCCGTCTCCTCACCTGGCGACGGGTCCTGACAACCAGAGATGCCGCACATCCCCCCACCCCAACACGTCCTGTCCGCCCCCCCCCAGTGCCGCCCCCCACCAGGCACTCAGGCAGAAGAGGCATCCTGTCTCAGCCACAGGTGCAGTTCCCAGGACCATCGTGGCCTGAAAGGGATGGTTCAGTCTCAAGGAGCCGTGTGTACTCCAGGCCGCGGGAGGCTGCTGAGGCAGCAGCCACCAAGCCCCCTTTCCCCACAGTGGGGCGTCCTCACCTCCTGGGCTGGAGGCATGGCTGAGGAAGAGCTCTGGCTTTGTTGAGAACAAGGCCCTGGTATGCACTTAGGGTCAGAGGGCACCCACAGCCTAGTGTAGGGCTGCGGGAGAGGTTGTGAGAGGTGGGAGCGGGGAAGACCCGGAGGAGAGCGGACGCCACGGAGCCCCACCCTGTGGGAAGGCGGAGGATGTCTCATAAACGGAGCCTGTGGTGGGAAGCCCCCGTTTCTTCACGGAAGTGTCAGCGCAGGCTCCCTGCTCACGTGCCTGTCTGCGGGGTCCCCTTGGGGAGGTGCCGCTTCAGGGGCTTCAGATCAGGGGGAGAGCCAGCTACACCCCAGTGAGGAGTTGATTAAAAACTGCTTTTTATAAAACAGATACACGGTTCAGGGGAACAAGAAACTGACCAAGGCTGTGAATCTGGGCCTGGAGGGGCGAGGCCAGCAGAGGGGCCTAGGACACATTTATTACCTCCCAGAGCCACCTAACTGTGACAGCCCCGGGAGACCAGCAGAATACAGTACCCTGGACAGCAGCAAGGATCCCCAGCAGATACTTCCCCAAGTCTCATTGTGCCCAGTCTCTCCTGGCATCTCTCCAGCGGGAGGTGGGGCTCGGAAAGGAGAAGCATCAGGCCTGAGGTCACACAGCATGTCGGTGGCTCCATGGGACCTGGCTCCAAACTCCTAATTCTGCAACTCTTGAGCATTCCTGAGGCTGGTCCCACTGCCAGCTGCTGAGATGGGCACCCAGATGCTGGCGATGGCACTGGCGCAGAGATCTATATTACAACAGGAGGCCGTGGGGCAGGTCAGACTCTCCTGGAAGCCAGGGCAGATGTAAGCACATAATTCACGACTATCGCTTCCTCCTGCCTGGGGGAAAACACAGGGCAGAGGGCTATTTACTGAGACCTGGGAAATCCACTCCTTGTCCCTCTGAGCAAGCCCAGGTCTCCCAACAGCCTGTCCTGGCCCTTCCACATTATTCTCCCACCTTATAGGAATGCACACAAGAGCTAAGTGGGGTCAGGGCTCAGAGTGTGAGCAGGGTCAGGGCTCAGTGTAACTAGGATCAGAGTTTGCCTCCTCTCCCCCACTTTCTGTCTTCCTTTCTGGGCAGCCTTTACCCTCCGTTCAATAATTATAACAAATGTCCAATTTGAGTGTTTCCTGTGCCACACAGAGTGTTGCGTGTCCCACATGGACCCTCGCATTCCCTCCTCCTAGGGACCTCAGGATGGATTCGACAGGCCGGTTCCCATTTTGGAAGAAGCAGACTGAGGACCAGGCGGTTACAGCAGTTCCCTGATGCATCACTGGAAAGGGGGTGCTTCTCAGACTCCTCTGATCTCTCCAGCCACTCCCTGCCCTCCTGCTAGAGGACAGAGTGCCAGGCCTGTGTGCTCCACAGGGGCGCCTCGGCCACCTACCCACCAGGAGGGAGGCACTCTCTGTTCCAGGTGGTCTGGGAGTAGCAGGTGTTCTTTTTGCAAGACGTGGGCTGAAAGCAACTCCCTGTGGCAGAGATGCGCTCCTAACACCCCAGCACCTGGGTTAGGGAGACCCAGCTGGTCAGAGGCCAAGGCTGTTCCTGCCTGACCTGCCACACCACAGCCACCCTGGAGTGGGCCTGGTGTGGGGCTGACAGCACCTCCCCGGCTAGCTCTTTGGGAAGCACCAGCTTGCCAGGCACCCCTCCCTCTGCCGGCACAGGGAGCCCACACACAGACTCAGCAAGGAAGCTGCTCAGATGCAGGGCCTGTGGCTGCTTTCTGTTGAGGGCCCCAGAAGCCCTGAAGGCGGGAACTCTGAGCATCCAGAGGTCCAGGTAACAGAGGATCCTGGCCCCTTGGCCCCCTCGCAGCATCTCTGGGGAAGTCCACCAGCCCACTGGAGAGCAACTCTGCAGAAGCAACAGCAGGCTCAGCGGCATCGCTGAGTGAGTTCGGGAGACACAGAGGGGTACACGTAGGTTGGGGCTGGAAGCAGAACTGGGGAACCCAGGCGTCGGTCCTGTTCCCAGCTCTGGCTGCCTTTTCCATGGGACCTCCGACAAGTCCTGACGACTCTGTGCCCTGGCTTCCCCCACTGGACAGCAGAGGGCCCCTCCAAGCTGGGTCAGCTCGCAGCTCTCTGAACAGCAGCCAGGGTCCTCAGGGACCGTGAGGACCCAGAGCAAGGATGCCCATTGGTTCATCTGGCCAGGCCAGCAGGAGCAGAGGCTGCAGTCAGAGCAGGATGTGGTCCTTATTGCCCGGGCAGGGCAGGCAGGTGGGTGGTGTCCCCGTCCAGAGCGCAGGGGTCTGACCTAGACCAGTCAGCTCGTCTTTGTAGGACGCTCTCCAGCTGTGATTCGGGTGGGGCAGTTGTGGCCCTCATTTACTCCTGGCTCTTCTTCCAAACGTGTGTCACCACCCGAGTTGCGATCAGAGCACTAACTTCCCCAGGGATTTCCACCCTGCTCTCCAAGTGCCCGTGGTTGCCCAAGCCCCTGGCCCTAGCACTCCAGGACCTCCCCTCTCCGGCCCCTGCACACACCCCCTCTTTCACCCCTCCCTCCACCCAGCAGCCATCCACAACAAGGTGCAGAGAAGTGGGACCCAGGCTCGTCATCTGTCAACTGTGATCGCGACTTCTCGGGAGAACAGATGGGTCTCTCCAGCTCCGGCTCTCTCTAGACATCTGTATCATTTCACAGCATCGCTGGAGGTTTGCTGGGTGACATTTCAGTGCGGCTGGGGAATGTGTTCAGGTTTTACTTTATGATCTTCTCTAAGGCTTGTTTTTAAGTGAAGTCTTATCTCTTCAGCCCCACAGTCAGCCACGTGGACATGGGGCCAGGTGGGCAGCCATGGGACACCAGGTGGCCCAGGTGCAGCCTGCTTGGCTGACCCTCCTCTCCACTGCCACCTCTCTGGCTGTCCTGCCCTCCCTGTAAGTTCAGTGACACCAGAGCTGCTGCCCTGCTGGCTGTCCCTAGAGGCGTGACACTTAAGAACCAGACCTCAACAGGAGGAGAAGGAGCAGCCCAAATTCAGAGTCCGCGGCCATTCCGCCTGGGGTCCAGTGAGAGGAGAGAGCACGAGGTGCTGTCAGAGCGATGGGTCTCAGGGCGCCCCGGCCCCGGCCCGGCCCTGCGAAGAGCCCAAGGGTCCAGGCCGGGCCCCAGAGGCTGCGGCACCAGCCCCTTCCCTGGGCGCCCAGGGACTCACCAAGGTTGACGAACACCTCGTTGGAGACGCAGACCTGGTCTGTGGAGTTGCACACGGCGGGCTCGCACGACGCCGGGCTGGAGACTTTGAAGCACTGGTAGCAGCTCAGGTTCAGACCTGTGGGGCAGCCACAGGCCTGGGTGGAGCTGGCTGCGCACCTGACCCGGGCGCGAGGTGCGCCTCTGAAGGCGCGTGTAAGAAATGCGGCGCAAAGAGCCCCAGCGCCCCGCCGGAGCGCCCTGCAGCCCACTAGAGGCGCGGTCTCGCCCAGCTCGCCCCTTACCTGGCTTTGCTGAGCCTCCACCAAACTCCACAGACACCAGCAAAGCCCAGAGGCCTAGAACCAGCCCCTCCATGATGCCAGACGGCTCAGCCTGAGGGGGTGGGGTGGAGCAGAGAAGGAGGCTTCACCCCAGCACATCCCGGACTCCCTGAGCCACAGCTCCCCTCCCCTCGGTGGTCCCGCCTCCCTGGACCCTCCTCATTCCATGCCCTTCAGATCCTGGTTCTCTCGGGACCCTCCTCCCAGCCCCTCCCCTCCGCCAGGCTGCAGGGAGCTGGGCCCTTTGAGAAGAGTCAGCCCGGGACGGGAGGGTGTAGGGGACTCCCAGCCCCTCCTCAGCAGCTCCTGCTCTGGGCAGGGTCCCCTGGGCTCCCTGAGGACGGCAACCTCAGCCTCTAGCCACCTCCTACTGGAGCAGAAGCCGGGCAGGGACTGCATCTCCCCTGCCTGTCCACCCCCTGGGCAGCCTCAGCCCAGGTCAGCTCTGATGGCCCTTCTCGCCCTGTGACAGACCGTGTGCAGCAGGGCTCCCCCCTACCGTTGGCGCCCTGGGGACTTGGGATCAGGTTGCGTCCCTGCCTCAGGGGCACTCGGATGGCTGAAACAGAGACGTTCCTTCCCTGAGGGGTAGCAGGAAGTGGTCTGATGCTGGAGGTGGAGGAGAGGGCCGGAGGGCTTCAAGGGGGAGGAGGGATCATTGGAGCTGGAGAGCAGGTGATGTGTGGACAATGAGGTGAAGCAAAGGCAGCCCAGTGGGTGAACGTCCTGAGCCAGGCGGCAGCAGGAACCCAGGAAAGTACCGCTCAAGGGCCAAGTGGGGGGAGGAGGGGGGGGGGAGACGAAGGGGGAAGAGGAGGAAGGAGGAGGAGGAGGAACAGGGGATCAGGTCACTGCACCGACTGTTGAATCTTTGCATTCTTTCTCCAGGGCTTGGAGTGACTTTGAAACCAGCAAGCAGTTAGCCATTGATGATTAAGTAGCTAGGAACTAAAGGTTTTTTTCCTTTTTGCAATTACTGAGTTTTTGCAATTACAGCTTTTAGCTGTTTGACCCGCCCATTGTTAACTGGCCGCTTAGGCAATACGCTGACTCCCACTAGGCTCCTGTGGATGACAGCTCCCTGGAGCCTGGGTCACCGTGGTAATGGGCGTGTGAGCTGTTCTTCAGCAATTAGAACCCCTTTGTCCACTTCAGGCCGGTTGAGACCACCAACCCCATCAACTGGGCCCGCGCAGATGTCCAACAGGCGACATTTTGACATCAAGAGACTAAAAACTCCACCTCAGGTCCCGCTAATGCCACTATTTTGTGGGCATGGGTCCTGTGAAGAGGCGTGGAGTCTGACTGTGCTTGCACAGATCGACAATTCCCTCCCCTCTCCTCACCTCCAATCACCTCTCTCCACATTTCAGACCACCTTGCCCGCCATCCCATAAATGTCCCTGAGTCCCCATTTTCGAGGAAGCGAATCTGAGGCTCACGCTCTCGCTTCCTCACATGGTTGCCTTGTGAGTAAACTCTCTCTCTGCTGCAATCTCCTCGTCTGGGTGTTTGGCTTTGCAGCTGGGTGGCAGGCAAAAACGAACCTGGCGCGGTAACAACTTTCCCGCTCCCCTGTGTGATGGGGTGTGGGAGGCCAAGGAGGAGGGAGGAGAGCCTGAGCGTCGGTGGGCACCTCTACCCAGGCGGCCTCTTGGCCCTGAGGGACTGCGGGCATGCTTGTCCCACCGGCCACGGCTCTGTCCACCGCGGGGCACCGGGCTGTGCTGCCTCCAGGACCTGGGAAGGTCTGGGCCCCTGCAGAGCAGCTGGAGCCTGAGAGCCTGGGCTGCACAGGGCCTCACCCTTGTCTGCATGCTGCTCTTCTCCTCAGCTCCACCTGGGGTCGCATGCAGCTCCTCTCGTCCACTCCACCCAGAACCACACGTGGCTCCTTTCCTTCTGCCCGGGGCTGCCGCCCACTGCAAGGTTGCATTGGGTTTTGGAGACTGACGTCCTCAGCTACTGCCAGGCTGCCTCCAACAGGGCGTCTTTCTCCCGTGGCTGAGTCCCTTGGGACCGTTGACTGTCCCTGTGATGGGCCCACGGGGTCTACCAGGGGGTTTAGATGTGCTTGGGCCCCATGGAGTTTCATTTCCCGAATCTCCCCCGCCTTGTAGGGCCGCAGGCAGAGTGTGGGGGCCCTTCCCCTCACAGCGCAGACCCGGACCCCTCCCCACCCAGCTCCTCCGCTCAGCCCCCTCCTTTCTTCTTGTTTTCAGAGCCCACTGGCTGACACGTTCTCACTGGGCCCTGGTGCCCAGGAACCTGTCCTCAGGGGAACCAGCCTTAAAGAGGAGAATCCAGCAACACTTGTTCCAGCCCAGTGAGGCTCACTCGGGGGAGGCTGGGGCTGTCACAGTGGGTGCAGGTCCCGCTGCAGCGGGCGAGAGCTGGGGCTGGACCCTGAATACAGCAGGGGCAGCGGGGCTGACAGCCAAGGAGCAGTGGGGGCGGGGCGTGGAAAGTACTGAGAGGAAACCTGGGGGCGGTTCCGGGTAAACCAATTTGACAGGATTCTTGCTGAAGGCAGCAGGATGGTCAGACCTCACCTGGGGGGTGGGGGACGAGGAACCGGATCAGATATCCAGGGCTGGGGTTCTCTCTAAAACTGGATTTACAAGGAAGGGCACAGCTGGGCCCCGGAGGAGGTTCCGGAGATGACTAGAGGTTGGTCAGGCACAGATCTTTGTCACCAGACAGCACGCAGCTGACGACGCAGCATGGAGTCCGCGCCCTGAGGGCTGGGGCAGTGGTCCAGGGTGGGGCCTCGCCCCTCTGGGGGTGCCGTCACCCCCTTATGACCTCACCTGGGACCAGTCAGTTCTAAGGGCCCGATCTGCGCCCAGGTGTGGGCAGGAAACGCTGCCCTGTCCCCTGACCCTCCCCATCCCCTGTCCTCCACAGCTGTCCCCAAAGGTGCCCTCAGCTGGGCGTCAGGCGTTCGCATAGCCTTCCGCACTGTATCCCGTCAGTCCAGTCTTCCCCCGGTTCCTTCTTTCTCTGGTCCTTCCTGACTTTGTTTGCTCAGTCACAGCCTTGGAGCACCTGCGATGAGCAGGCAGGGGCCGCCGGATCTGGGCAGGCAGGTGCTGCCACCCGGCCCTGCCCTCAGGGCCCCAGCCAGAGGCGGGTGAGTGGGAAGACAGAAGGGGTGGCTAGTGGTTGGGAAAGGCCGTCCCTGACCCCGCCGTGACTGCTGCCCGCCACCTCCACCAGTGGCCACCGGTCCACCTGGTGATCCAACCAGCAGGACTGTCCCTGCTCCCTGTCTTGCCCAGGGTACGTTCTAGGGATCCGCCTAGCCAGGCACAGCCTCCATGGGGTTGGTGGGCCCGGGGTGTATGGGACTGAAGAGGTTCATTCACTGCATCCTGTGTTTCCTCAGCTGTCCATTCATGCTGCCATCATGTTGAACATGAAGCTGGGGCTGTGAAACCCACAAAGCCGACAATCGGAAGGATGGTGGTGCTGGATGCAGGTGTGAGAAAGGGGCCTGGGCAGGGGTGGGGGTGGGTGGCAGGCACGGCTGTCCCGGGAGGAGCGGGGCTGGTTCATCTGGAGCAGGGCTGATCGCACGCTGTCCTGGCCACACAGGGGGGACGCGCTCAGGTCACACCGCTGTCAGCACCCCCACACAGGAAGTGGCCATCCTCCCAGGTGACCACTCTTTCTCTGGCACTGGGCCAGGGACGTCAGCGGGCACACTGGGCAGCGATCGCTCGACTTCCAGCTGCCCTCCCGGCCTCGTTTCTGATCTCGCTTGTGAAGGAGCTGCTGGGAAGCTGGTTCCTGGAGGCGATGGGAGTGGCTGGGGACATGAGGATGCAGAAGGCTCAGAAGCAGGCGGGGAGGGCAGGGCGCTACGGGGAAGGGAGGAGGTCCACCTGGGCCTCCTTAGACCCGGCACACGGGTGCCTGAGCTTCCACGGTCCCTGGCACCAGGACGGGGCCCCACCAACCCGCCTCTGCCCCAGCCCGGCGATGGGTGGGTCCCTCGGGTCCCGGCAACTGCCACTGTCATGGTCCCCAAGCTGAGTGTGCTCATGGTGTTGGTGTGTGGCCTTCGCCCCGAGCCCGGACAGGAACTGTGGGAGTTCGGGCCTTCTCGGGCATGGGAGGAGGGCAAGCCCACCTGGCTCATGGCTGTGACCCGCCACTGGCCAGCCTCAGGTGGCACAGACAATGAGTCCCTTGTGGGACGGGGCATTTGGTAAAACTCATCTCTGCTCCCGGTGAGCATTCTCTTACCCACACGGCTGCGCCCCAAAGAGGCCGCTCTGCAGCCCCCACTTGTCAGCTGAACACTGAGAGGAAAGAGCCCTCACTCCGAGCAGGCAGGGCCCGGCCTGTGGTTCTTGCTCCCCGAGAGACCAGCCCATGGGTGTCAGCCCCGTCCCTGCCTGGGCCTGCACATGACTGCCCCCTTCGTCCCGAGACAGGAACAGCAGGGAAAGACAGCGGCCTGCCAGACCCCGCTGAGGCCAGACACCGCTGGGGAAAGGTCCCTGCAGGTGGATCCCCTGGGCTTCTGGCTCTGCCAGGGCGTCCACTGGGTCCTGGTGGCATTGACACTCGCTCCAGGTGTGGCCCTGTGCATCCTGCTGACCCGGCCACACCGTCCAGGCCCCGCACAACCATCTTCGGTTCCTGTTTGGGTCCCGAGCTCATTGCGTCGGACGACAGCACTGGGTTCGCAGCCCAAGCTGTGCAGCAGTGGGCCCATCCTGGACGTGCAGGGGACTCTCCAGGCCCCATTTCACCCTCAGGCCACAGGGTGCTGGAGCGAGCCAGCGGACAATTAAAGGACAGGCCCAGGCAGCCGACGAGGGGGACAAGAGGACCCCCACCGGACCGCACATCTCGGGCAGCCGTCTGAGTCTCATGTGACTGCGCGGCGACGGGCTCTTCTCACTGACCGCACCATCCACCCTGCCATTGGCCGGCACCCTTCCTTCCAGGCACTGACGCCGCGGCCTCCGTGGGAGACCCTGCAAGGGCCTTCTGGCCCCTCTGCCCGTTTCTTAAGACTCAAACAGATGGGAAACTAAGACGGCTATTAAGCGGCTATGTGAACCCATTTGAGAATAGTTTAGAAATTCAGGATTTGGTGCTGATCAATTCTGGAACAGGACGGATTCACATAGAAATGTGTTTCTGTTAAATGTTCCGTCCTTGGGTGATGGAAGTTCGAGATGAAGAGAGCAAGCAGTTCTCTTAGTAACGTGGAGTTTGACGACCGA